GGCCAGGGGGCTGGGGGGCATTCTGGAGACGGCCTGTGGTGTCGTCAAACGTGCCTATCTTACAAGTCATGTCACCGACGAGCCCGAGAACAGCACAAACCTCCTTGAACCTAGACACCCACGCGTCACGAGTGTGAGGCGGGATGGCGTCTAGCTTGGCTCCCTCCTTCGCTTGAAGGTCGGCGCATTGATTCCCTAGGTAGTTGCACAGCTCGAGTCCCTCGAGCTGCTGGGCCTGAGCCTTTTTGGAATGCGCTTTGACCTTGACGACGACGAGGTCCCCCTCCCCCGAGAACGAATCCTCAATCGCATTCCAAATCATGTGCCATAAATCGGCATGCGGTCGCCTGGCTTGGCGGCACCAAACTGGGCCTCGCCTGAAGCCCCGAACGACTGTGGAATTATCGATCCCTACCTGCAGAGGGGCTGTGCCGTGGCGAAGAACATTCAAGAAACCATACAATTCAGCTCTAAGCACACTTTGTGCCTGCCTTACTCCTGGCACCGTGCCATGCATCGCTTTGCGTACATTACCGTACTGGTCAACAAAGCAGAGGCCCCAACCGAACGTTTTCAACCCAGAGACCCCGACCCCCGACCCATCCGAATAGGCCAGGCCCGAGAGAAGGGGATCGTCCCCGTACTCGGGGTCCAGGGTCTCAATGCTGGGCGCGACGTCCTGGAAGGGGTCCCCCAGTGGGTGAGGCGCGAGAGCCCTGGAGAAGAGACGGGAGGAGGAGCACGAGGAGGAGGCACGGTGGATTATATCAGGATAAGATTCACCTGCAGCCTGGCGCTGCCCCTGAAAAGCTGGACACCTACAAAATCTATGGCGTTGATTTCCGATGGCGTGCCCGCACTTTTGACAACTTCGATCTTCCGAGTGGCCTGCTCTCCACACTTTATCTTGCGTCCAAAAATCGCTGCACAGGAAAGCTAGCATAGCCGACTGCTTCTGGCCCTTTTTCTTTTTTGTCCTGACTGCTGCGCGACAAGGCCCGAGGAAGGGCTTCCGAAAGGGCATGCCTCGCTGCGTTGCCCAGTCGGTGAGCTCTTGATCCTCTAAACGAAGGTAAATATACTTGCGCAGCGTGCTGGGCGCCGATCGGCGCATGTCAAACATTTCACCAGTGTGAATGCGGATGGTGTGCCAGCTAGGCCAGGACCAGCCCAGCCTCTGCAGCGTAAGATTACAAGCAGAAGCTGGCCCTCGAACTTGGCTCCAGGGGCGATCTAGCGTCCGACTCCGTCCGGCCGCTTCGCGTGACATTTCCCTGCGCCAGGCCCTGGCCATGTCTACCTGATGCACTCCATTCCAGGCCTGCGTGGCCCACATGCATAGCGGCCTCTGCGACCCCTCGACCACAGGATCAACTTGATACGTCCAGAGTCGGAGGACTCTGTCTCGACCAATCGCACTACCGCCCAGGCTGCCCGAAACCATGACACGCATTCTGTTCAGAGAAACAGGCGAGACTCCTAAACAGCTCGACCCGTAGGTCACGGACGGGATCACCCTTTGGCGGACAACCCTGGCGAGGCGGGCCCCTTGCTTTGAGAGGGCTTTTAATTTTGACTTGCGCTGGCATGCGTATTTAAATCGCTTCTGCATTTTCTTTCTTTTGCGAATTACGGCGCCTCCAGCGCTGTCCACTCCCAGCTGTGAGCTGGCGTCGGCGATGGCAAGACCCAGGTCGTTGGCCCAAGCAGCGCAGCGATTTCGAGCCGAGGCCGAGGCGACGAGGATGTACCCTTTGCCGCGGGCACCACGGGAGACAGGGATGCGCCAGGTACCTTCAATCTCACGGATATAGAACGTGACAGCAGCCTGCAGAACATTGAGACATCGCAACGCTCCTCGGACCTGAATACTGAGATCGCCGACGAATAATTTCATCTGGAGGCGAGCCCCCCTGGCTTGATGTATTGCATCGGTGACCTGCAGCACCACCATCTTGAGTGCCCTGGTGCCACCGATCGAGCCAGCCACAACGGCCGAAAAAGTTTGAATCGACTTCTTGGCTAGGACCCCTCGAAAGGCAACCAGCCTGGTGGACGTGTAGATGCTGATGAGAAGCTTGGCTAGCTGCTGTGGGAAGCCGCAAAGAGGGGCTACGACCCACAGGGCAGTCATGGTTACATGTTCAAAAGCACGCGACGGATCCAGCACCCCCGTCACCGACACCTCCCCCTCACGCGTCCCCTCATCGTGCACCATCTGGTGCCATGCTGCCTCTTCGGAGCCCCCTCCAGGGCCCCCGAAATCATATTTGCGCTTGGCAGAGCGCTCCCAGTCGTGAAAGAGGCCAGAGTGAGCTCGTTCTACTACACGCATGAGGGAGGGGAGGAGCCCAATCGGCCGTGCGCCTCCCGACTCCTTCGAAAGTAGGAAGTATATGATGTACCTTACCTGCGATGGGAACTGTGCCGTGCGAGAGATAAACATCACTAGCTGAATGAGGCAGTCTTTGCCTTCGTCCGAAATCCAAGCCCACCAGCGTGGGTGCCAGTGGTCGGAGCCTATTCCCGTCCTGGCAGGAAAACTCAAACACATTTTGGTAAACAGCTGGCGGTCCAGGTGAACCAACGGATGGGCGAAACGAGCGGCCTCCCAGGGTCGGTCTGAGGGACCCGTGCTTTCCTGTCCATGGGAGCCCCAAACGTCAAACCACTCTTGCGCAGCCCTGTCGGCCGCTTCCTGAGGATCAGCAAGCTCGAGGTTGGAGGCGGAGTAACCCGTGACGGGGGGAGGAGGGGTACGCCACTTGCTGATCCTGTGGATGAAAGAAGAGCCTGCTGCCGATTCCGTCTTCAAACGTTCTCGCCATTCTTTTGACCGTGTGGCTGCCTGCTGCCGCTCGATGGTCTGAGCGTTGGCTACAGCTCGTCGCTGGAGACCCATGATCTCGGGGGCCTGCTCCATGAGCGCTGGGCCCTCGAGGCAAAAGGCGCGGTATCGTTCAAACTGGGCGATTACGTGCTCAGCCTCCTCCCCCAAGTCGTGAACCAACCGACTCCTTCCTCCTTCGATGCGGCGCTCGAGCTTTGCTCGTCGCGCGCGTGCATGCGTCCAGGTACCTTCCTGCTGGGCAGCTTGTGCGGGGAACATAAAATCACTGGCTCGTGCGGCGACCCACCGCCAAGCTCGGGAGCTAGGCGTTCCCCTGGGGCGTGCGTGCGATTGAGGACCAGCGAGGGGGGCCCAGGTCCACCGAGGAGGATCGCCCCGACCGAGGTAGGATTGGGGTTCTTCCACGCCCAGGAGATTCACCAGCTCTGTTTCAGCACAGTGTGAAATCTGCTTCCAAAGCTGGTCAAGCTGGGTGCCAATTAAATCGTCCTGATGATCGAAATCTGGCCACTGTGCAGGCTGCGGGACTGGTCCGCACGGCCTCTCCATTGGGAAAGGTCTGGGCTTGGCAAGCCTCCAGCCGCCTTTTGCTCGCATCCTGGACTGCATGACTAGGCGAACGGGCGAGTGAGGTGCGGCTGCGGTGTCTAATACTTCTACCGTGTCTCCGAAAGCATGCTGGATGCGGGCGTCGAGCACAAAGAAATCGATGATACTGCCACCGCCGACTCCTGCACACGTGGTAGTGGAAGGGAGTCGCACAACTCCACCCACATCTTGGCACCAACCCGTCTTGAGTAAAGACTCCCCCGTCTCGTTGAAGTCTGCTTGGAATACCCACGGTATGTCATACTGCTTGATGACCGTTGCAATGGGCTCCAGAATTGACAAATTTCGAATCGTCCAACCTTCCCGTGTCCAAAAGTATGCCGTGATAATCATGAGGCCACCCTTCTGTCCAGCAGAGCACCAGCCCACTGCCACGCGGCCAGGCGACCCAGGAGGTGAGATATCAAACGCATTCACGCCTTCAAGATGCGTAAGGCCAACATTCCTTGGCACGAGGAACCCAACTCCACTAGTCGGCCGTCCGCCTGGGCCGCTGACAGCTGGAACCAGTGCTGCCGTGTAGTGCCTGTTGAAGCTGGCCGCCTCGATGTCCTTGGCAATGGGCGCGGTCAGCCTATGCCCCTGAAGGAACGTGATATGCATGGGGCCCACGATCTTCCTTGTAGCGGCCTCATCCAAGACATCAATAGCCTGCGCCCAAGATGAACAGTTGAAGCCTATGAACTCGAGCCCCACGTTGCGCGTGCCGCCCTTGCCTCGACGACGCGGCGGGCTCGGCTTCGGTGAACTTGACCATGTAGAGAATGATGTACTGACTGCGTCAGGAGGAGACCCTCTGAAGGGTTCTGGCTCCTGCGACGTGCTGGGCTCATGCCATGAACCCGACCATGTAGAGCATTGTGCGCTGGTACCTGCAGCCGTGGAGGCCAGGCTGCCGAGCCCGTGCGGGCTAAAGAGGTACTGGCTTGGCGGCTGCCTCCGCCCTGCGAGCCCTGGCGCGCTGCAAGGCCTCCGCCAGCTCCTTGCCAGCGGCTTCACGACCAGCGTCAGGGCCAGCGTCAGAGCTGGCAGCGCCAGGCGAAGCGCCCTGGGCACCCTGCGGCTCCGCGGCGGGATGGGCAGCCTGCTGGGCCTCCTGGGAGGCCTGGGCTGGCGCCTGCGGCGGGCCTCTCTCGGGGCTCTGGGCCGCTGGCGCCTCTGCAGCCGCCGCCTCCGCAGGAGGGTCCTCGCGCTTGACCTGGGCAGGCGCCTGCGGCGGGCTCCCCTCGGGGGTCTGGGGCGATGACGCCTCTGTTGCCGCCGCGGTCGCAGGGGGGTGCTCCCGCCTGCGCTTCTTGAAGGTCTCGCGGAGCATCCTGATCTCCTCGAGCTGCTCGCGCTGGGACTTGAGGACGTCAGCCCCTGGCCCGAAGTGCGTGCGGACCGCCTGCTGCACCGACGCCTCGAAGGTCTGCTTGAGCTTGTTGAACTGCTGCCGCTGCTCGGATGTGATATCCAGCCCCTCAAGGTCGAAGAGGGGGCCGTCCTCGATGACAAAACTGGCCTCTCCTTCGCCCAACAAGGCAGAGAGGTTGATGACCCCGCCGCCCTTGTTGGTCCCCTCAGGCTGAGGGTCCTTGCCTGGCGACGCCAACGCCTTCTTCTCCTGCGCCAGCTTGACCTCAGCCCCCACCAGGGCGTCAGCTGCCGCATCGGATCGAGCCTGGCATTCGTCGAGCCAGAGCTTGGCGTCGGCCAGCTGCTTGGCACGCTTCTCCAGCTCCCGACGAGCAGCCCTCTCCGCCGCGGCCGCCCGCTGGATGCCCTCCTCCAGGAGCGCGGGGCGCTCTGCAGGGGCCGGCGGGGCGAAGGCGCTCTCGAGCTGCTGGAGCGCCTGCCTCTGGGCCTCGGAGAGGGCCTGCCCGCCGAGGGTCTGCGCCACCTCGCCGATCGCAAGCGGCTCGGTCCTCTGCGTGGTCTCCTCGGCTTCCTGGTACCAGTCGGCGCCTTTGTGGTTGTCCTGCCACCAGCCTCCGCTGCCGCTAGCCCAGACGCCACGGGGCTTGGGAGCAGGAGAGTACGATGGTCGCAGGGCCTGCCCACAGCTGTAGCAGGACTGCTTGGTCTTGTAGGTCCAACGGTAACCGCACTTCTTGCATCCCACGTAGTCGGACGAGAAGGAGACCCTTGGAGCTGGGGACTTGCCGCCTCCGCGCCTGCGATCCGACATGGCGGCGGGCTGGGCTGGGACTCTGGACGGCAGCGCGTAGCTCCCCG